TAATTCTTAGCCTCGCGAGAAATGATATATCAGGATATCTTTTTCTAGCGCAACACTCTTCTTTATGCTCGCAAATGAAATGTAATTACGAGCTGCTATAGTCCGCATGTAATCGACAAACACACTTATTCGCTTCTGGAGGATATGCACTGTTACGGTTTGTGCAATATACTGTGTTATAATGCATACCATATTTCCATAATCGTTTCCTTATGTTGCAATGACATTTTGTCGGCGACTGTGAATGCAATTGCAGTTCGCTGAGATGCTTGCGTTCGTCGTCACGTTTGTCACGTTTTCTTGTATCGGTAATTATTATTCTTATTTTAGATTATACTTTGAAACATCACATAAAGTATATTGAAAGATTTAAGTAGATTATTTAAGTATTGAATGTGTTCAATAAAAAAATTAACAAAAAAATTAACTTTAGAATAACATGTTTAATATCGCATTCCACAAGAAAAGTGACGCAAGCATAAAAAATATTAAATTGTTCAGGAGAGAGGAAAAAAAATATAATAGCATATTTAAAAATTATTTATTAGGCAGTATTGAACATAAATTAACTCTAGGACTAATCATAAATTGCTTGTTTCAAATTCTTTGAAAGTAATGTAAATATTAATTTTGCTGGTGTTACCTTTAACAATTATCCCTATTTTGATTTGTGTCATTTTTCTTTTGTATCATTTTTGTTTGAGAAATATTCAAATTCAACTTGTATTACTTTGACTAATCGAAAACTAATGTATTTGGAATATAATTCACACATAATACGAAAGTCGAAAATTTTACCTGGTGTCACTTTTTTTGTTCTGAACAGCCTTTATTTAATTAAAATTTTTAATAGACTCAGAAAGCTCTTATAATTAATTATATGTATCTACATATAGCATAAAATAATGTAAGGAATTATCTATTTATAAATTCTCTCTTAAGAAACTTTTTCAAAATGTACCATAGTTTATATAGAGAGGTTTAGACAAATGTGTTAAAAAAATACACATAAAAGCATGATTACTCCTGCAACCTCTTCTACGACATTATTGAAAGGTTAAACATGGGACTTGTTGCATTGCCCAGGGATATTTCTGTTTACACTTAAAAGTCGCATATTGTAACTATCTTAGACATTTAGTTATGTAATTGACTATAAAATATGCAATGAAGTTGAATATGAATATACATTTTTTATCATTTTATACAGCAGATAGAGAAATGCATAACAAATTTTTGTTTTATTTTCACACCGAAAGAAAAATTTTGCTGAAGTATCTAAAAATTTAGATAGATATCTGAAAATAATTTTGTTGAATCATTATAATAATTATATTGGACAGTCAAGTCGATTGCTAGAACGTCAAAACTTTTTACGTTATTGCCTATTATGAGCATCCTAAATAATTATTATATTTTGATAGTCCACAATTATTTATACATAAATCCAACTAAACTTTAGATACTTCTACTAAATCATTTATAACCGTGGCAGGATCTTAACTTCATGGAATATAAATTCTTAAACCGCAATTACTGCAGTGTTTGATATTAAAAATAGAAAAGTTGCCGACAAAGTGATATCCCATGTAATCTTCACCAAGGAAAAGACGTTCTTAAAATCGCTAGAGAATCCCATAGACAATGAAACAATCAGAGAATGGATAATGTTCGAAGATGAAGTCAGGTTTAACCTTTGCCATAATAACAGCGATAATAAATCGTGACGGTAAAAAGAGCTTCGCACGCGCGGCCTGAGAAATCATAAATAGCGACATCGAAATTCTTCGTTGGACGCTATTTTTCTTTTCGTTCGTTAACGATAGAGAAACCGTTTATTTGTTACTTTCCTTCCGCAATAAACGATAACGGTTTCGCTGCGACTGAGGGTGGCGGGAAGTGTTGGCAGTAATAGCGACGGAGGTCGAGAGAAACGGGAAATTCCTGACGGAATGCCGTCGCGATCAAGGATGACCGGTGAACCGCGTGCGAGATTACTCCCGATTCACGATTAGAATCTTACGTAGGCGCGCTGGCTGTCGTGGAAGTGCGGCTCATACACGTGCAATCGCAAATGTGCACACGTGCATCTTCATATTGTCTTCGTTCTATATCGCGCGTTTAAAAGTATTTCGTCAATTAATTACTTTTGCTGCTTGTCGATTTATCATATTATACATCGTCTTTCCGTCGATTTTCAATGTCAATCTTCCGGAATTAAGACTTATAGACGAAAGAGCGAATTAAATTGCTAACTTCATTATGAATCACTATCATTTTTGTCCCAATGTAGTACATGACTTATTTTAAACGTCAATTTTTTTTTGACTAGATTCCTGCGAATTTTTATTAAGTCGAAACGTCTTATTCTCTACCTATGACATTTTCTTTTCTTCTCCGACTTCTAAGAATAGCATCGATCCTGCTCGTAAGCAACCGCTTTCGTTTTTTTTTTCCTCTCCTTCTCACCTTCCCTTTCGTCGTTCGTGGTCAAAACGTTACGATCCCGGTGTCAGGACGCCGCTCGGATGTTCTTTGTGAGTGAAATGTTCCTTGTAAAGGCCTCAAGGCCGACCAGATGCCACCTCCTCTCACTTTTCTGCCTGTCGTATACTTCTGCTCTTACGAGCCCTGTCGCGACCACCTTTCTCTCTCTCTCTCTCTCTCTCTCTCTCTCTCTCTCTCTCTCTCTCTCTCTCTCTCTCATCTCTCTCTCTCTCTCTCTCTCTCTCTCTCACTCTCTCTGCCTCGTTTCTTTTCGTTTTCTAACATTTTATTCAAACAATCTTTCCCTTGGATACTTCGGCAGTTTGCGGTCTTCTCGCGATCTGCAATTGAGTCAAGGCTGCACAGGACAGCCGAAACCACAAATCCTCTCTACGAACTCCACCCGATAAAATTGAGTCCATGATGAACTTTAAAGTTCAGCGTTCTCGCGCGGTATTACGGTCGCTTATAGGTCATGCAAACGCCGACGTTTCGATTAGTTTTGGACTAGTCGCAGATTTGTATCGCAGTCCGCCGATCGTAGTTTCCAGCATTCAAATCCTTTGTGCCGAAAACTCGTTATTGTTAATGTGTTGCAGGAGTCAATATGTGTTGAAATGTGCAATATTGAGCGATGAGGAATGACTCGCGCTGGATACTCTTCCTCTCTACAGATTTGTTATTGAAAAAAAATATATATATATAATATAAAATACACAGTTTGCATTGTCATTACTATGATAAACTACATGTAATTAGAACGTGCCTTAATATTATTTCTTGGTAATTAAATAATAAACAGTTGATTTGTTCAAGCAACACTTTACTTTTTAAGGCCTGGATCGCGATTTGCTTTGATCGTGCAGTTCAAGACACTTCTGCATATCATGAGTTTGGGCGCGCAAGAGACATTTCGATGAGGGTGAAAGGAGCATTAAACGAGCGTTGTGAAGAGGTCGTGATTGGATTATTTATCGTCAATAAAGTGGGTCGGTCGCACCAAACTTTCGGAGTTTCGGGAGTGGTAGGTAATGCGGCACTTCTCGTGCCACACTCGCATAATGTAAGAATGCAGGAGTGCACGCCCCGAACGCCTCCAACATTCCAAAGTTCGTCGTAGGACGTTTTCTCTTGTGTGCACATTCCACGAGGATGCGTGTGCATTATTTTTATACGGCTCGATCATTTGCGAACTATGACGGGACAATAATGGTGATAGTTAGGCGTCCGGCACCGATCGGCTGAGTCAGAAATTGAATGCGTTTGTCACGAGATCACCTAAATCTCAAACTGTGACTCACGTGTTTAAGTTCACTTTCTGTCCTTACAGAAAATTAATATTAGCCAATTTAATATTGAAAAACAGTAATTAATTAATTATTTTAAGTACTAAGAATACTATTATTCAGTGCTTTTTTTAGATCTCTAGACTCTTTTTGCTTTTAATTCTTCAGTAATAAATTGGTCATTAGATTTCTACGATAAGGAATTAAATAATGAAGAGTTTATTAGAGAGAGAAACAGAGTAAAAGTAATAAATTTTTCACAAGTTTTTTTTCATTTTACTGCGAAATAGCTATGAATATAACTAAAAATATTATTTAGCTTAAATTATAACATAGAATAATTAAAAAGCATCGTTTAGAACATACGTAAATATTTAATTGCAATTAATTATGTTTGTTGCGTGTATATAATATACAATATTAATATTTTAAAAATTAGAAGATTTTTTATAGATATAAATATCGTTTTATTTTTACCTGATATAAAAGTAAAATTTTGTACATGCACAAATAGAAGTTGTTATACAATTTTTGCTATACGCAATAAAGATTTTACACTTGATTAATAGTGTATGTAACTAAGTTGTTAAGTCTAGTAGCGTTCGTTTTTCTTCAATTGCCTCTCATCTTTGTTTTGATGAACAATGAGTTATTGTTTTTTTTTTCGTGAGATTATTAAAATATATATCTTGTAATGAGATAAGCTTGACAATATATCTATACTAATTGGAAGGATACGTAAGAAATAATTAATTGATAGTTTACGTCATAATTAAGAATGACTGTAATTTCTTATTTACATACAAAGTAAATTTTAATCATCAAATTTTATTAAAAAATAATAATTAATAGATATTTTATTGAAAGTTATAAAATTAAGATATTGATTAATTTTTATAAGTAATCTGACAAATTGAAGAATTTTTATTATTTTGTTTGCAACTTTGTATTATCTATTATAATTATAAGTCATTTTCATATTTCTTCTTTGAATTCTGAATTCAATTAACACAGATAGCCTTTCTTTGATATACATTATAAAAATGTTACATAAAAAAATATAATTTTTTACAGAAGTTAATCTCATTTATAATCTCAAGTTTGTATATTAATCTTGAGCATTCCGTATTCTCCATTTCAATGACATAATTATGTAATAAATGATAATGTATCTTTAGTAAGATTTATGTTGTGAAAACAGTTGAATAGCTACAAGGAATAGTCGCTTTCCAGAGAAACTTTATTGTCACATTAATTTACATTTATACAATAGGTGATTTAGGTGCTTGACGGACGACAGTGTTTTGCTATGTACACATCACTATTCCATCATCCCTTATACACGCGTCAATCGAAAATTAGTATGATTACCCAAGGAACACACCAAGAGGAAGTAAGAATTATTTTATTTTGACGTCATGAAAGTCAATATGATGATTCTTGGTTATAAAATCTGACTGTTTATTGACGTTAAGAATTAAAATAAAAATTATTTTAATTTTTTGTTGACTTTTATGTGTTCCCTGATTAAGAGGAAGATCTTGTTCCTTTCGATTAACACCCGTCGTATTTTTCTAGTAATGATCGTTCATATTTTTAATACCGCGCAGTAAAACGTAAATAAACAAAACTGTCTTTAAGAAAAACGTGGTGTCTTCATATAACTCGTGTTCAAAATGTATTTATACAATTCTTATTATGCGCTAATTGTATATAAAAAAATCCGCTGTATACACAGAAGTCGAAATCACATTCACAGACAAAACGAGTCACGACAACGTCAGAATGACGTTAAAATGAACCGTACTGATCGAATGATTTTTAATAATTATTTTGAAGACATTTAACACCATGTCAGAATGACTTTTTGTTCTGTTTGAGTTTCTAAGAATTCGGCAAGCAGGATCGTTTTACAAAATTGTACAATGTGAGAAGAACGACGAACGGTTTTCGGGCGCTGATCGGTTGTTGAAATTCGATTGATGCGCGTTCTAAGAAATTAACAAACTTAGACAATTCTCATCACGAAATAGCGACCGGTTTAACTGCGCCTGCGGTAGGAGCTGGCTTTGGGTTTTACTTGGACCTCCTCCCGTTGTGTCTCCTCGACCTCTTCTTGAACAGTCTTTCCTCTTCCTCCGAACCTACCGCGTCCTGATGTTTTTACTTCGCCACCTGCACTTGTCTTGCTACGATTACTTGTGGTGGCTCTGGAAATATATCATTGAATTATTAATTTTTTCTACATTTACTATTAACGAAAAAGAAGAGTACGAAATTTTAGAATAATTATTAATATTTTCAATTTTTTGATAATAAAAGAGAGATTCGAAATATACCCAACAAAATTAGAAAATATACATAACACGTTTTGCGTATAAGAAGCATACAACGCTTAAAACATTTATCGTTATGAACATTGTATATATGAATGTTATTTTCTTATAATAGAAATTATTAAATGCTGCTTGGAGAGTAAATATCTTTTTTTCACGAAATGTATTGTACTTTGACTTGGCTGTGGTATGTTCCGCTGCAGTATGCGTGGCAGCTGTTTCACGTGACTGATTACTGGGTCCTGTCTGAGCTCTTCGCCTCTTCAAGGCAGCCAAAAGATCCTCGTTTGATCTGAAATTACATAGTACGCACCTGTCATAAAATATCTGGACGTTAAAATATATACCGAATATTTCACTGCACACAAGTGATCACCTGAAAGGCCTGACGCCACCATTATTCCGAAGTTTTTTCGCAGATTCGGTTGTCGTCGTGGGCGCCTCGTTTTCCTGACTTTCATCAATCTCGTCTTCACCTTCCACTTCGTCTTCTTCGGGTGCTTGTTCTATTGGCTTTGACGTCGTTGATTGTGCCTGAAAAAGGGAAAGAAGGAAAAGAGATTTATTTCGTGTATGATTAAGATGTTGAATTTATTTTCTTTTATTCCGTGTTTACTCCGTGTGCATATAGCACACAGTGCTGCAACAGTGTTAATATAAAATACGTTGGCCTCACCGGTGTTTTCTTTTTTCCTACATTTGGTATTGTGGCACGTCCCCTCGAAGATAGAAGACCTCCCAGTCGACCACCTGCTGGCTTCGTCGGCGCCGGCGTCACGGGCGCTGCTACCTCTTCTTCGTAATCATACTCCTCTTCGGCCGATTTGCAGACAGCTATTATACAGAGGGCTAATATTCTGTAAAGAACACGTTTACATACATTATAATTGTTTATTATTAGCATCTCTTATTATTTTATCGTTGATAAAATATTACATATAATTACTCTACGGTTTTTCTTCTACAAATCTTGTTTATTGAAAGAGAAAGATACATTCTTATAAAATTAATTTTTAGTTCGTGTAATATGATATTTTTTACAATAAATTTTTTATAATAATTTATTATGTTCAATGAGATTAAAAGAAAAGAAATCTTTAAAGAAAGAGAGAGAAAAAGAGAGAGTCAAAGTTATAATTTTTTTAACATATTGTGTGGTGTGTATGTGTATTTTGTCAATTTTATATTACCGAAACAAAATAAAATGCATTTCAAAAGTTAAAAGTTAATACTTTCGCACGATAATAACGAAATTTAGCAAAAAAATTGCTGTCGATATAATGCCATAAAAATCATCCTTTTTTTTATCTCATTGAAGTCTTTTTCTTGAATTTGTGATATGTAAATATGAACGAATTCAACAGGTAAAAGTACATATAAAAAATGATTATTCATGCTTATGTTAAAATATGGAGAGTAATACAGTTGGTACGCAGTTTGCACGAAATAGTACAATTTATGCAAAATATTATTAGTTAACAAGATCTGTTAAAATTATGTTTTTTTAATATTATAATTGTAATTCTTTTAATATTTAGTTATAGCTACGTAAAAATAGAAATTTATATCTCTTTAAAGAATACAGGGGAAGGGGTTGCTAATATTTAATGCAATATCATACATAAATATCGCATACTGTTAGATGTGCGACAAGTTATAGTGTACAAACGCATACAAACGCCTTAGAAAACGATTTTTCTGATCGAGAAAAAAGTGTCAAATCATCGAACGATCGTGTGAAAACTGTACAATCTATATTATTACTATTTGCGCTAAAAAATAGTGTGTTATTTAAGTAGCAACGTAACGCCGTCGCGAAACAAGTTTACGACTGCGGTTAAATTGACGGGCTGCACTTAGAAAACAGTGAAATGCAAGTCAGAGTATTGCTTAGAGAACTTAGTAGGTAGAGCGCGAGATTATGCAGTTGTACTTTAAGGACTTAAAAGGAGCCATTTTATGTATCGCAATAAGACTCACTTCTTATATAATTCACATCATGACTTTTACAATTTTTAAAATTTTCGAGATGTTTTTATAGAGAGAATAAAATTATGCAACACTTATTTTGTGTTATACAATATATATTTGATCTAAATTTTTAGTCTTATTCTTTTCGATTATTGTTTCTAATTTAAGAATTTTAAAGATTTTCCTCGACAAAAGTAGATTTTATAACTTTAGTTATACCTTATTCAATTCTTTTCGATTCTTATTTCTAATTTTAGAATTCCAAAACTTTTAAAAAATTTGCTTCTTTTCAAAGATTTCTCTTGAAAAAAAAAATAGATTTCTGAATTTTGACATCTGCTTTTCAAGATTTTTTAATTTATGGAATAAATTAAATTTTTTCTTTGAAATGGGAAAAGGAATTTTCGCAGGACGTATGTAGGACGACTGTTCAGTCGCAACTTTTGCCAGGATCGAAAAAGGAATCCGAGGACGAGAGATCCTATACTCGCGACGTGCGCTGCAACGATTATTACGTGCGCTCGGCGCGCTGCCTGTATTTTGCGTTCGCTCGTAGTAGATCCGCGTACACTAGGTGGATTTTGACCTGTGACATTCACGTACACGGGGACTCACTTTCTCTGCACGGTTCTCGTGCAACTCGCCGCGGCGCTCGGGATTGGCTGCGCCGTTACGACGGGACATTCATACGTGAGGCGGCTCACAAATGTCAAGAAAACCAGCCGAACCTGGGATGAAGAAAGGGAGAGAAATTTCGAGGGATCCGCGGGAAACGACGAGCCCGGTGATCTCGATCGATAGATCGCCGCAGGAATACGCATGCTGGACGATTGCGAAAGTACGAATTTGAAATGCGAATTGAAATGAGAACAATGATGACATATATATATCCCTTATAGAAATCTAATACTGGCTAACTTAATGCTGGCGAATTTATTATACTGAAAAAAAAAAAAATTAATTATTTATGTAAGAGAGAAATACCTAAATATATAATTACTGTCTTTCAGTATTAAATTGATCAGTAGATTAGATTTCTGTAAGAGTTTGACACTAGAGATAATAAGATGACAATGTTTTCGTAATTGACAAAAAACGTATCTTTTCTTTAAATCTAAATATTTTAATAATAATTTCTAAACTTTTTAGTATGCCGCAATAATCAGACAATTATTTCCGCTACTTCTATGAATCCATGAGATCGCCTTTAAAGGAAAAAATATGTATAGTAGTAATTATAAATATGGTAATTACACGAGTTTTATACATAGAATTAATTTACATAGTGAGAGATAGATGCTGTTTTACGATTATTACAACTATAAAATAATTTATTCAATTATATACATTAATTCTACGTAAAACTTATAGTTGCCACCTTTATAGTTAGCATTACTATATTTTTCCTGAATGTGGAAATAGTACAGGTCAATTCTTTTTGAAACTTGAGTATTATTAAACTTTTATTTCTTCAATCACATTTAATGCAGAATGACAATCGATCTGCAAGCTTGATTCATATTTAAGATTAATTCATTCACCTATCTCGTCATTCATTAATAGTCGTGTTTATGATTGACATTAGCCACGTGGGAATGATTGAGACAAGATGTATCTGAATTTTTTCACAAGATATTAATAGAAAAATTATTAATTTATTTTTGTTGCGTCCAAAATTATTAAAAAAATTTAGAAAAAAGTTTCTGTGTTTCATTTTAAAGAAAATTTCCCGATTAATGGAAATTTATAAGAAATTTTGTATTTTTGCAATAAATATAAAATAAATAATTTCGAACAGTAGTTAGCGGTAACGTTGTATTCGCGTCCTCAATTTTCAGCAGACATTTTAAAATATATTACAACATGTCCAAACTTGGTCGTTACTCGTACAGAATTCGTAAGCAGATTCCTTGACGTACTTATTTATCAAATAGCGTCGTCTGAGACAGGATAATTTTGCCAGAATTTCTCAAGATTACCTTGTACGCTTTCTTCGACGCCGAACAAATTTTTAAGTGGTTTCATTACGTTTGTGAGACCTTGTAGCCATTCATGAGTTTCAATATAAATCCAGTATAAACAGTAATAGTGAACTGGACGATGAAGAATATGTAAAATCGAATAGAACGTGCTTTAAGCAGATTTATACTACCATTATATTATACATATTATTGATATTGTTGTATTTTTTACCAGTGATATCAACTCGCATTAACTTTCTGAAATACAATATTTGTGTGCTTCTAGATAGTTATATTTAAAAACAAATATGAATATATTTATCTATCTAAATATGATCTCAGCAGCTGAGATGCTAACGTCAGCATTATCAACGCCTCGAACTGTCTTTTTTTTATTTTTTTTTCCAATCGAGCTTCTCTTTCTCTAGAGATTGGCCTTTAGCAGTTTTTTGATGCGTTTTTTCATACGTCTGGGTATAATTGTTATCGCCTCATTGCACATAAGTCCTTTATTCGCAAGTAATGCTTCTTATTGTTGAAAGAATGCATTCCGAAGGATAAAAATTGTCCCACAGTCTGTATGCGAAGTTAATTGAAAATAATGTATACCATTTATCAAATTGTGCCACGATAACGTCTTCGTTGTTGAATACTTTTATATTGTTGATGCATTAGCTAGCCACTCATTAATATTCTAGAGGAATATTCTCGTTATGTCGAGGATAAAAATCTGACTCTTGAGTTCTTCGAAATGGAACGTTGTAGCTCATTATTCATTATGTGACATCACGCGATATTATGCTTTTACCGTTATCAAGGACATTTACCGTCTACGTTTAACAGGATTATATTGATACAATCCGCATATTTTAATTGAAGTGCAAATAATCGAAGATTAATAGTTTTAATTTTGTTTCTTTAGGATTATTGTTTCGTTCTACTTTTGTTCTTAAAATTCTATAACTCTACAGGGGTAAATTGTAATCTTTTTTAAAATCCTTTCTTTTCGTTTAATTATTTATTTATTTAAATAAAGCAAATAAATAAAAATATTTATTAACACACAATACAAAACTGCTTACATGATCGAATATATTTGATAAATATCACGTTAAATTACGTCATTATAAATGATATAACTCACTATTTTGGAATGCATAATTTACAATGTTATAATTATTTGTCATTCATTTTGGATTTTATTTTTATTTGAAATATTTTGAACAAAAAAATTTTGAATTAAATTACTTTACTACGAAATTACTAAATAGTAGGGGGCGGTATTTAATAATCAGCAAGGAAGTTGTAGGCACTAATTCATCGATTCATGATTATTAATAGAAATTGCATACATGACATGCTTAGATCTGTTTTATGTCATAATATAAAGTATAAGTAATGATACGATGAAGTTGATTGACAAGTGTTGATTGATTCTCAGAATCGTAATTTTTTGTCTTAAAATCGTGTCAATTTTTATATTTACTCAACTTTCTTCGGATATTTCAATTTAATATTTTATTTTAATAAAATGTTATGTGACTTTTGTCATTGTTGTCAGCTAGGAACCATTTTAGGAATATATAAGTATTTTTGCAACAAAAAAATACAGTGTCTTCTTGTTGAAAAAGAGGAGCGAGAATCCGAAGTGATGATATTTAATACAGAAACCTTAGTGGAAAGTTAAACTGAAATCCAAAAGAAGTTATGTTCGTGCAATTGATTTACCCGCCTGTGGAATCTGCGATCTACTTTTTCTTTTTATCAGCAAACCGGTTCACCGGTAAACGAGAATAGCCACTCGTAATTAATGAACATAATTCTCGTTGTGTGCGGGATTGCGAAACTGTCCGAATATGGAATATATTTTTGCGTGATAGCATAATATCTCCCGCGTACGCGAATCTTGATTTATAATATCTCGCGAATGAAGTAATTCATCATTCGTCCGATTACATCGCATTGTGACGCGGGATCACTGAACTTCACTGGAACTTCGCCTTGGAGGAAAGCGATTGCGTTCGCATTATTTTCCACCTGCAGGATGTCGTTAGCGTTTGTGCGTGGGCTTGCATTGCTCCTATCCCGTATAAGAATTCTTTGTCGCCTTTATCTTTCCCTCGACCTTTCTAATATTTTAGTATTTCTCAGCATTGTAGCCTCTCTCTCTTTACGCATCTTCTCCCTTGAGTTCAGCAAAAAAGGTTTATTATATTTGTTATACAAGTTGAAGATGGAATCGTGAATTCTCTCTCTCTCTCTCTCTCTGTAATATAAATTTTAAAACGTAACTTTAATTAAAGCAATCAGTTTCAATAAATATATCTCTTCTTGAAGGAAATATTTTAATTCTTTCTTGCTTTCAAGAAAACGTAAAATATTAATTTTATTTAAAACACAATTAATTAAGTAACAAACATTTTATGTAAACTAATTACAAGATATATAATATTAAATTTAATTTTCTCTTTTTACATATTTTTCTATTCCTCTTTCTCTAAAAGTAAACTTTTTTCAGTTTTTTCTTTCTTCTTATGCTTCTCGGTTTGTTTTAATTTTTTTTTTCAAGTCTTCTTATTCTTTTGACAATAATATGAATTTATACGCTGCGTCTGATGCGTTTTTATTACGCGCTTAAGAAAAATCTTCAGCAGAAATATTAAAACACGAGTAATAAATGTCTTCTTCTATTTTTCTTTCACGCCGACTTAGGAGTGAAGACACATTACCACGCATTGCTCATTAGTATAATGTCAAGGATAGAAGCAACGGTGTGACATCCGTTATATTTATACGAAATTCTCCTCGAATAAATGGACATACATTTATTAATTTCGATTTCAATAATAATCGCTGTTATGCGCTCTCACTCTCGTTATAGCTTTTCTAATCAATTTCCTGGTCAGAACCAGGAAAGGACTCCGTGCAGCTACTGCAGTTGTTCGTTTGCATAACGTGCCTCTCTGCATCCCGTTATTAATACTCGATTTGTAGCCGCACTCACGACTGAGTATGAATCCGATCGAAATGTCGTCGAACGGGAGCGTATATAGTGTGAATGTAATCAATAGGTGACGGTATAAAACGTTATGATTGAATAACTTCTCATAGAGTCAGGGCACGTGTTTTATAGTCAGAGGAACCGGTATGCATTATCTTCAATCCGTGTGGAAACACCACGCTAAACGATCCGGGATATATTGGCTATTAAGCATCGTAAATCGATCTACGTCCGCAAGATCGAAAGTTATCGACGCCTGGCAGCCGCAATTTCCTTGGCAGGTGTTAGCGATTTTGATTACAGGTAACAGGATGACAGATATTAAGACTGAAACGAAGTGTACGGGTAGCATATATACATGTACCTTTCAATCACGAACGTATAACCGGCCTTGGAATTATTCAGGTTTCACCAAAAGTGCAGATCTACGAATAATAATAATCTACGATCGCGCGTGCGCGCGAAATTAGTGGGCGAACGATTGGATCGTCAAACTTCATTAACCCTTTCTTGCTTTAATCAAACAGTGTAATACGTAATTGCATCTCGCTTCGCGATTACTGCAATCGAATAATTTGCTTTTTTATTCGTTGGTCCTTTACTTCTTCCTGTCGCGTATATCCAATTCGAGATTACGAAAGGGAGCGTCTCTTTCTTATTTAGCAACATCGCGAAACAAATGTTCAATGAGGAAAATGGAGGAGTTCATTGCATAAGGACGATCTCAAAGTCAGGCGCGATTGCGATTCTATTACCATGAAGTGGTTGAAATCGGGGAAGAAATCGAGAAGCTCAATGCGAGAATGAAATAAATCCATGATCTGTAAAGGTATTTTAAATTGCGAAGTAGCGGGAGGACCTTTTGAATTATGGATTTCATTTTTGCGTCGAACCACTCGATTATTCTCCGATGAACTCGAGATCGTGAGTCGTCGACGGGTTACTCACGTGAACAGCGTAAGTTTCATGGTGTCGGCGGCCTAGGGCGGATTCTGTCGATCCTCTGCGGATGCCCTTCTGAGGCGAACGTGTGGAAACCACCGGTTTTTGTCGGCCCGACTGTTACCACTGGCGCGCGGCCCGCGAGGGAATGAATATCAGGCGATAACCAGGTGGAAGGAAACCGAAAGAGCACACCACTGCAATCGCGGAGGCTGTGTACTTTGGAGTGCCGAGGCGAGTTTCCCCTTCTCTCTATATATATGGCACTCTCACTCTGCCAGCAACCACCCATGTTAAAACCGTCCACCGATAGCGATACGTACGGTACTCTGCGATATATCTGATACGCGCACACTCACCCCCTTACGTCGCATAGTGCGTGCGCGATGTCGCGAGTAATCGAGCTTTTATACGTTATCTTCAGCGCAAAGCTCATGGAGGTCTTACTCGATTTACTTGCACTGAAAAAAAGAATCGGGTTGAATTTTAATCGAAATTCTGATTAAAAACGGACAATTTAGAATTGTTTGGTTGAATTTACTATGATTCTTATAGTTGAGAATCCTTTTTTTTTATTAGTATGATTAGAATCTTCTGATACGTTCATTTTCAACCAAAAATTTTTCTTAGCGTGTCTTTTTGTTATCATGTAAAAATTTACTACGATTAAATCCGTTAATATGTTTAAGGACGATATTAGTATGTATTGCGATGCAATGAATCAAGATGTTACTGCAGATTCAAGCAGAACAGAGTCATAATGACAAAAAATAGCTTTAAAGTAATAATTATTTTATTGTTAATTATTTCAGTCACGATTCATTTTATTCACGTCATTTTGACGTATCGTGACCTGTTTTGCTTGAGGAACGCTATTAGCATATCACAATGAGATCAAGATATCTTTAAAATGCCTATGTGAGCCCCGTGAATGTTATATATAGCGCGTAAATTAAATATTCATAACGCGGTAGATACAATTTATAATCAATTGAGATGCATTTAGATATCATATGAAATAAACACACATGTTATTATTTTAATTTTATTATATATAGTTATGTTTACTATAATAATATTATAATTTAATATTGCTACTGTAATATTATTATTTTATCGTATTTCAATATATGTTTGTTTTGGTGTTGTCTTTGTAATTATTTCAGTCGCATATTTTGGATATTATAGCTGTCAAATATTTTAATCACTAGAATGTATTAGACTTTCAAGCACAGTATTAAAGAATTCGGAGAGGAATCGACAGTCTCTTGGGCAATGGACGCACCTTTTCACATTTTGATTACAGAACATTTGCCATATATGTCGGCGATGGCGATGTACATTGGCCGATAAATTGACGCGACAATATTTTCGAAAGTAAGTATTATTTTATTTTTGCAAAAGTATGTACGCAATTCGTCATAAATCTCAAATAAATATTCTGCAATTCTGGATAGGAAATATTATCGATTGTTTCTCTACGTTAAGTAATAATGTTATTTTTGAATATGTAATCTCGAGATCGCGCGCGTCATGCGACTTTAAATTTTAATTATTTAATTAAAATATATTCCCATGTGCTAGAATACATCTAATTTAATAAGAAAGATATCGTATATAAACCTGTGTTATTAAAAATTTATATAGACATTTATCATAATAAATTTGTAATAATAATATTGAGTTATTGTTATTTTTTTTTATTAAAATCACATTGGTACATATAATTATAAATATTAAATTTATGTATAAAATTGTTTTATTCGAAAATATTATATTATATTTTGTACAATATTGTTAAATGATTAATACTCCCATGATTTTAATAATAACAGTAATAATAATTTATTAAAGTACAGAAAATATAAAGAACGTTATATATGCTGCTTATAATTTTAAATCTTTGATATATAATTAAAAATAATAATCTATAATATTCTAAAATAAAAAGAGAATATTCTGATATGCGATGACTCTGTAAAATACAGAAATGCAGAATTAATCTTCTGTAAAATGTGAGAATAATTGAATTTCAATTATTTATTATTATTTTTTTAATTTCTCTTTTCTCTCTTTTCTCTCTCTTTCTCTCACACTCTCACTCTACCATTCTTGATCGAACCCCGAGGAGACACACGAAAGCGTATAGCTTCTTCTGTGAGCTTCCTTTCCCTTTCATTCGCGGTTTAGAAGACGATCGGTGCCGTGTATACCCACATTTCTCCATGTGTGTTACACCTTTTTAATGTCTTCCATCTCTCTTACTCTGTCATCTTCGCTATCTCGATTGCTGATGCCACACACACGCGCGCGCACACACACATTTCGCGAAATTTATGCCATGCTGGAATCCGTGGCTCGTCTTCGCCCAGCGCGATGTAAATTCAAATTCCAACGGTCTTGCTGCCAATGCAAAGATATTGTCCGGCTAACAACATGGGACAGTCCGATCGCGATAAAAAGTGATTACGCTATTGCATTCGGTCGATTCGTATTCACGAATTACTCGATCGCTCTTCTCTCGCTTCGACTGACGCAGTCATGTCAGGTCGTCGTGACAGACCTTTGGGATGCGAAAAGGTATCGCCGCGAGGGACAACGTGTCTTAGATCAAACTGCGAGCAGTGAAAGTAAAGACACGAACTCCTACAGCACTTTGTGCTGTAGGCAAGAATGTCGTGGCACCCTGCTGCTGCCCGGCTCCTACGGCGATGTCCTATCGCCCGTTTCGTTTTGTCTGCATGTCGTATGAAAGAAAGCGTCAGACCAGTATCACTCTTGACGGCCGTGAAAATCACGGCAATCTCCTGATGTCCTCCGTTTTGCTCCTTCGAGAACTAGTCGTTTCCCTCGAACTCTGACCGAGGTAAACAACGGCAGATTTCACGCGCACCAAACTCAAAAGGTTGACTGATATGAATAAAAAAAGAGAGATGAATGTTACAACGAATTCATCTCTTTTTTTTTTTTACGTTACAACGGACGACCCGAACAGAATTTTTTTGGCTGTCACATAAGTAAACGAAGTCTGGGATCGTCTGCCATTTATATATGCGGATCGTAAAATAGTTATTTGGAATTTCGACAACAAGTGTTCTCACAGTAACTAAAAACTTTTCGCGAGTAACATATTTTAATGTAAGAAATTGACGAATAAAAATATAAAATATTAGCAGATAAAAATCTAAAAATTTAAAAAATTTCTGAAAAATATCTTGATCTACTTACTTGATGAAAAATTGTCAATGCATGTTGAATGTAACAGATAATTGATGGAAATATATGCGTTTGTTAATTTACAAAGATTCTCTTAAGATTGAAACAAATGGATAAGAAGAAATTCCGCGCGCGACATAAATGCAATTTGTATCTCTTGAATGTATTTCTTTGACGCCCCCTAAGCGATTGTGTCCGCGAATGTCGCTGCAAAGGCCATAAATTGCAATAATCTATGGAAAGCTTTCTTAATCGTCCTAAGACAAGAAGAATTCTTTTCGAAGGAGGTTTATCTTTGAAAACCTACATTGTAATCAATAAATCAAGAAAAAGACAATCCCGTTCGAACGGCTGGATGGGAATAACATTTTAGAATATTATTTTTTCGTCGACTAACCCTTTTTAAAGTATTACTATTTTGGCATATGAAGCATGGTTTATGTTTAAGATAATCTTAATCGAACATTTTGAAATCTTCCATTAATGTTTTAAAATATTTTCATTCGGTTTTTATTCGAAAAATGCTCTTCAACTGTTATTTAAGGAATTTCAACTGCTATTTAAGGAATTTTATTTCAAATTTGCCCCCCCAAAAAAAACAGACACAGCAGAGTTAACAGAGATAGCAAATTTTAAAATTTGTTTAAATTCTTGAAATAGTTGGAATCGGTCGGAATAATTAGTAGTATTTTTCGAATATTGCTTATATAAATATTGAAAGGTCAAAATATTACAATTTACCTGTTATCTAATGCAGGGGTTTCTAAACTTGTGTAGATTGCGACTCATTTTATAAAATGGCAAACATCTGGAAACTTATCTAGGTTTGGTAAATACAAAAAAAAACGAAAGAGGGAGAATTGATTATCATTCGTCTATACTACATATTATTTCTTCTATTATTTAATTTTTATTGAATATAATTTTATAAATTTATTTCTCAAAAATATAATATATGATGAGATATGCATCAAGAATACATCTCTTAATGATCTTTGTTAATGATAGCTTTGACGCGGATTATTTTAGATGCAAGGCGTCTAATTATTGGCGTTATTTGATATAATTTATTTTGAAATTTAAAATTTATGTGACCTCTCTATTAGCGTCGTTACCCATACTTTATGGGTATCTCTAGAGCCACTTCGACCAACTCTGATTAACCAGATTTGGAATTGGCCAATTGCATCTGTTGTTGACAAATGCGACTGATCAATTCCAATGGACTAAATGTCGATTAAAGTTAATCGGAGTTGATCAAAGTGGTCCTTAATGCATTAACTCGTTAAATTACATTTTAAAAAATATTAGTCGTCATCTAAAACTCACATAACAATTTTTTGTTAGAATACTTAAAATTAAGCTAGATTTAAAATAATAAAATTATTATCAATATATATGCTTATATTTTAGCAATAATTACAAATATATTTTAGGAAGTACTATATAAGTTCATTTATTCGCGCGTGTGAGTAAAATTGTAAATTGAAATAGAAAATCTTGAAATATATATATATTTTAAGGGAAATTACGAAGAAAAATAGGGAGGAGAAATTGTGTATGACACTATGTTAATTTCAAAAGGGACAATCACCCATAAAAGAAGAAGAAAGCATTTATCTGAACGCAAGCGAATCTCATATCAATTTGTAATCTGTCGTAGGTGATTTCTTTGTGCTCTGGAAAGAGAATAAATAAATATTCGACTAAGCGTTACATCGAGATCAAACTGCACCTTGAAAAGAAAGTTTTGCTATTTTTTGTTGACATATCCGAATGTCAGATACACCCGTATCGCCCGCGGCTCGCTTAAATGAAGGAGCGGTTGGCCCGATCGATTTCGTCTACTCGATCGATCAAGCCGCCCGTTCATTGATACTTCATTTTGATAATAAGATCAGATTCTGTTTTTTCGAGTGGCGCCAGTTTGACACGCGTCTAATTAGTTATACGATGAAAGATCGATATTTGACATGATAGTATGAAATTTGTGG